ATGAAAAAAAATTTACTTACACTGGACCAAAAGCACAATGGTTTTTTCAACCAACTTATAGTTTGATTTTTTGAACGTTTCCAGCAGTACGAATACCGTCAGCGCGATACATAATTTTTATTTTTTATATTTTTGGTTTTTCTTTATCACGAAAAAGCATCTGTAAAGTCTAGAACCAAATTAAATGACGAAGAAAATTAATTCAAGTTGAACATTTAAAGACAAATTTATAAAACGGCTGTAGCTGAGTGCTTACAGATGCTTGCTGTTATTTGCTAATCCCGTCAGAGGGAACTTGTTAAAACAGGGACCGTAACCGTTATGATTTTTATAATAAAAATGAAAATTTAATCGTTATGTTGTGATTTTTATTTTTTCGATCATTTTTATCGTTATTTTATGATTTATATTTTTTCGATCATTTTTAATCGTTATTTTATGATTTTTATTTTTTCGATCATTTTTAATCGTTATTTTATGATTTTTACTTTTTCGATAATTTTTAATCGTTATTTTGTGATTTATATTTTTTCGATCATCTTTAATCGTTATACTATGATTTTAATTTTTTCGATCAAAAATAGAAGTTATTCTTAGTTTTTTAATGTGTATACCGAATGTGCACAGATTTGACTTAAAAACAGTTTAACAAGGCATGCATATGTACACAAACAGTAAAGTTAGACTTGTAATGCTCTCAACCCATAGGATTGTTCTATATTGGAAAAAGTATACCCCTATTTTTATACCTTTATGAGCATGAAATGGTATTATAACTTTGCTCCGATGTTTGTAAGTACCACAATTAGAAGAGATATACCCATCGAAATGTACACTTAAATGATCAGAACGTCGAGCTTCGTCGATTTAGCCATGTCCGTCTGTCCGTCTGTTTGCATGCTATCTAGTCTCTCAGTTTTCGAGATATCCGGATGAAATTTGGTAGGTGGGTGTATTTTTATAATGCACTAATCATTTATCGGAACCGGAATAATCGGACCACTATAACATATAGCTCCCATACAACTGATTCTTCAGATATGAGATTTTTCGCTATAACTCCTCGATTTAAGCAGTTAGGAACATGAAATTTGCAATACTTCCACCCATTTACAACAGAATACTTACAGTGAAAATTACAAAGATCGGGTCACTATAATCTATAGCTCCCATACAACTGATTGTTCATATATAAGATTTTTCGTTATAACTCCGCCATTTATGTAGATAGGAACATGAAATTTTGCACTGTTGCCACTCATTATCAAAAGAGAACTTACAGTTAAAATGGCGAAGAGCGAGTGGCTATAACACATAGCCTCCATATAACTGATTGTTCAGATATGAGATTTTTTGTTATAACTTCTCCATTTATATTATTTATTTATTTATATTTTCACTCATTATCAACAGAAAATTTACAGTAAAATGAACAAAGATCGGGTCACTATAACATATTTATTGCCTCCATACAACTGATTGTTGATGGGTTTTACTGTGAAACTCCTTTGTATGGACAGCTAAAGCCGATAAATTTACACAGTCTACTGAAAAAATCGTCAAAATCTATGCTGTTTAAGCTCTATCTCCTGTACCACTGATTGTTCAGATACCAGTTTTTGCGATTTATCTCCTTTATGTAAGAAGCTAAACCCATTAAATTGTGTTACCGGTTTACATACCGATCAAACAGCAGTCAAAATCAAATAGATTGGTGCTATATAAGGTATATGTTCCATACCTCCGATTGTTTAGATATGCCTTGTTAAACTGTTTTTTAAGTCAAATCTGTGCACATTCGGTTAACACATTAAGAAACTAAGAATAACTTCTATATTTGATCGAAAAAATTAAAATCATAGTATAACGATTAAAAATGATCGAAAAAATAAAAATCATAAAGTAACGGTTAAAAATGATAGAAAAAATAAAAATCATAATATAACGATTTAAGATGATCGAAAAAATATTAATAAAAAAATAACGATTATTTTTCATTGAAAAAATATAAATCATAAAACAACTATTATACAATGATTTCTAAATAAAAATCCTTCATGATAACGATTATTTTCGGTCCCTGTGTTAAAATGATAATAAAAAATTTTGATTTGTATCTCCGAATTATGAAAAACACCCGTGAAGTGCAGAGCATAAACGTATTCAAACGAAAAAATCGACAACCAAAACTTTGGTTAAAGTGAACAAATAATTTTTTACTTTTAATATTTTTATTGAGCTTTGTACCACGATTGTTTATTCGGAAAAATTGAAAAAGCAACAAAGTCTAAGCGGTAGAAGTTATAGCACTATTTCGGAGATCACCACATCTCCTCATCAGACTTCTTTTTCTAGACTTCAGCAGGGAACAAATAATTGTTGAAAACAACAACCAAGGTATAGTTATTATTAACCACAAATCAAATTGATTCCTTTTCAAGTTTGAATTTGGCAATATTGACCAATTTTGGGTTGATGTTTTGCTCAGTATAGGGATTTGAATACGTATTTTCCCGGCTCAAAAACGGAAGTTGAATGATCGATTAAAACTGGATTTGTCCTCAACTCCAATATCAAGTTCAATAGTATGCAAGGGTGGCACCAAATCATGTCCTCATAACTTTTCCTAGTCCTGACAGAGTTAGGGACATTTTTGAGAAATTATGCATTTGTAACGTTTTCTCGAGAGTATGAGTAGCTTACGGTGCCGTGCGGTGCAGGGTGATTGGTGCAAAAATACTTTGTACACTTTAAACTAATTGTCGTCAGTCTTCCATAGACTGAACACTTCACACTGCCAGATCCCTATAAAAGTTACAGGAAAGGGTAGCAAACGTAGATATCTTGATTTTGCTACAGATTGCTATTTGAACCATTTTTACCAAACAAATAAAAAGTACGAAAACCGGTAAAAATTGGATAACTGCCACGCCCACTACACTAGGGGGCGGATATGCTAAATGATATCTGATTGCAATGAAATTCGGTTTGTAACTTGGATTAAGCTAGGAAATACGGTGAAAATCGGTAAACTGCCACGCCCACAAGTTATCCGAAATTTGTATTCTAATTTGGCATAGACTGGGAACGATCCTCCCAAATAGCAAATATTTCGTGCAAGCTCTATTTTTGCTTCTGGGCGGGAATGGGAAATACTACCCGATTTTATTCAAAACGACTTGTACCTTACAAACCGAGTTTCGTTGAAATCGGAAAATATTTCTCATTTCCGCCCACTTGTTTAGGTTAGGTTAGGTTAGGTTATCCTGGCTGCCCTCATCCGCGCAGGAAAGGGCACACTTAGGCCTCCATGGGCCCATTGTGATACCATATTGAAATTGAACCAATTTGTAGCTCTGATAAAGCGCACAAAATCGTAGATACTGGCCGAGTCCAGTTCAGCCAGACACTCGAAAGAATAGCGAAGGAGCGAGCGTCGACGGGCTCTTGCCAAGGCGGGACAGTGGCACAGGTAGTGCTCCACGCTCTCGATCTCCTCCTCATCGCGGCAGCTGCGACAGTAGTCGTTTGGCTGCAGACCCATCCTGGCAGCGTGGGTTCCCATAAGGCAGTGCCCGGTGAGAATTCCGATAACATGGCGGAGCATTGGTCGCTCCAAACGAAAGAGAGGGCGAGATCTACGCTTATCTAACCTAGGCCACATTTGCCCGTTCGATAAAGTTATTCTGCAGCCAAAGTTTGCAGGATGATAGCGGAATACCCGCATTACGAGCGGTACTGATCGCAGGCAGTAGGGTTCCTTTCCGAGCCAGCTCGTCCGCAACACAGTTGCCCGGTATATCCCTATGACCTGGTACCCATACAACTCGAGTAAGGTGGCTCCTTGCCAGCTCATTTAGAATACGTCTACATTCCATGACAATCTTCGATGAGGATTTGTCACAATTAAGTGCTTTGATAGCTGCCTGGCTATCAGAAAAAATAGTTACTGAATGCAGAATAGTAGGAGAATCGATCATCCATCTAGCAGCTTCGTAGATTGCTGTTAGTTCAGCCTGAAACACGCTACAGTAATTTGGCAGACGGAAACTGAGGCTAAGTGAGAGTTCCTGCGATATATATCCCACTTCCTACCTTCAGATCTAGCTTGGAGCCATCGGTGTAGATGGCTGCTGAATCAGAATAAGGGATCAGGATTGAATCCTCCTCCCACTCACCTCTTGAGGGGATCCTTGTTTGGAAGTCATTCTTTAGTCCAGTAGGTGGGACTGTGTAGTCAAGTTTCCTGGAAGATCTTCCAAAATTCTAGAGTGTCCAAATCTTGTATCACTCCACTTGATCAGCGCGTTTAATCTAACAGCATTACAACTTGCCTGCAGTTTGCCATATAGGTCCACAGGTAGAAAATGGAGCAAAGTCTCTAGGGCTTTAGTCGGCGTTGAGGGCAACGCCCCCGTGATCATAATGCACGCCACCCTTTGAACCTTTGTTAATCTGCTTTTGATTGTGAGTTTGTCCACGGATGGTCACCAGACCGTGATGCCATAGAATAGAATGGGACGCACCACTGCTGTGTACATCCAGTTCACGATGTGCGGCTTTAAGCCCCACTTTTTTCCTATTGCGGATACAGGGCAGTTATAGCCTTCTTGCAACGCTCTTCAACATTGCGCCGCCAAGTTAGCTTTCTGTCCAATACAACGCCCAGGTGCCTAACTTCCTCCGAGAGGGCCAGGGTAACACCACTCAGGGAAGGAAGTTGCACCTGGACGGTTTTAATTTTCTTTGTGAAAAGAACCATGACTGTTTTCCCTGGATTGACACCAAGGCCAGATTCCTTGGACCAGGTTTCCACAACGCGTAAGGCGCCTTGGACCAGATCACATAGAACTTGGGGGTGCTTACCTACCGCCGTCAGGGCCAGATCATCAGCGTAGGCAACTACCTGACAGCCCGTGCTTTGTAGCAGAGTATTCACCGTTAGATTCCACAGGAGTGGGGAGAGGACACCGCCTTGCGGGGTGTCGCGGTTTGCATACCTTGTTACCGATACCTCTCCCATCTCCGAGTATATAGTTCTGCAGCCTAGAAGGCGATGAACAAATTCTACCAGAGGGTACTCCAGACCGAGGTTAGTTAGGGCGCGGAGAACAGCTTCTGGGAGAACATTATTGAAGGCACCCTCGATGTCAAGGAATACGCCTAATGCATATTCCTTAAGCGCTAATGCCTTTTCAATGGTGCTGACAATACCATGCAAAGCTGTGTCTACAGACCTGCCTTTCCAATAGGCATGCTGACAGCTAGATAATTTACTTAAATCAATTTCTGTTCGGATCTTCACTTCCAGTAGTCTTTCCAGAACCTTCAGGAAGAAAGATGTAAGGCTAATCGGTCGAAAGTCGCTTGGCTTCACATGGGATGGTCTGCCGCCCTTGGGAATGAACACAACCTTCGCCAGTGTCCATCCCTTGGGTATGAAGCTAAGTCTGAGACAAGCCTTTTAGATTGAAACAAGCATCGGACATAGAATGTCACACGTTGCCCGAAGTTCGGCAGGGAAGATGCCGTCCATGCCTGTAGGGCCGGAAGGACCTTATGGCCCAATCTACCCTTTCTACATCAATAAAATCTATGCATTCTAAGGAGGGTCCAGAAATTGTGCGAGCGACGCCAGGCTCCTCTGTACACCCTGGAAAGTGGGCGCTCATTAGAACCTCAAGCATCTCCTCTTGGGATGATGTCCAGTCGCCATTCGCCTTCTGAATAAACATTGGGTTCGTCGGATTTTTGGCAAGCACTTTGCGCAAGCGATTACCCTCCGATTGTCCCTCTATGCTATCACAATAATCCTTCCAGGAGTCCCTTTGGGCTTTCCTGGTGGCATTCTTAAATTTCTTTAAGGCTGCTTTGTAAGCAGGCCAAGAACCATTACGCTTTGCAGCGTTGAAGAGTTTCCTGCTTTCCTTCCTTAAAGAGGCAATTTCCTTAGTCCACCAGTGTGGCTTCCTCTTTCCTCTCGGAAGTACAATTGGACAGGACGCAGAGAAGGCCGTATTACAGGCATTGGTGATGCAACCTACGGCTTCTTCAATTTGTTCCGATGAGCTTAACTCACCGAGAGAAGCAGGGTTTGCGAATAGAGGCTCCGCTTCATCAGATGGTAACAGTAAGCCGAGCCTACCGAGAGAAGCGTCGTTGAGCAGAGACTCCGATAGTACCGTCCTAAACATAGTCCAGTCGGTACGTCTCTTGTTTCTGTACAAAATCGGAGCCGGAGATTCGAATGATAGGTACATATGGTCAGAGAATGAGTGGTCGTTTAGTACATGCTATTACCTAATACTCTTCAAGAAAAAATTGGACGTTAAGGTAATATCTAGTACTTCCTCCCTGTTTGAGGTAACAAAGGTGGGTCTACTACCAATATTACAAATAGCTAGATCATAAGATAATATGAAGTCAAGTAATAACTCACCTCTTGGGTTGATATCGGTAGAACCCCATAACGAGTGGTGCGCGTTTGCATCGGCTCCTACCACGACGGGAAACTTCCTTAAATTGGCCTCTTTCACCACGTCCAGTAACCGAGCAGGGGGGCACTCTTGGCGATCGTGAGCCATATAGGTTGAGACCAGCCAGAGTTTGGTGGATTTTCCCTCCACATTGATGCTCACCGTGTCCTCATCACTAAAATGAGTGAGTAAATTATAAGAAATAGTTTTCTTGATTAATATACATGCTCTGATTTTACCTGCCACTGCGGCCGACACAATTTGGTAAGCATCAGAGTTGAGTCCGCAGACCCTGTTTTTTACGACCCAGGGCTCTTGGAAAAAAATTAACTCCTCCCCTTTGTCACTAAGGTGCAGGAGCAGAGCTGCGGAGGCTGCTTTGGAGTGGTGAAGGTTAATCTGTGGGACCTTCATCCACAGCCTCTAAGGAGTTGGCGCCATCCATAGCTCCTGGCACGGTCCCTTTGGACACCTCTACAACAGTATCATCGGCGTCCTCCGTTTCCGATGCCAGGAACAGGTTCTCGAAATCCCTCGTCCATTGGCCGAAATCAGCACCGTCTCCAGCAGCGGATTGCGTATCGCTTTCCGATTCTGATGCCGAGTCTCATTCCTCCGCCAGACGAGGGACCACGGGAACCTCCTGGACTTCTTGGCTAGGGGCAGGACCGCTCGAGGCGTTTTCTGACCTACTCGAAATAAGAATTCTTCATGTGGCAGATTATCGGGTTCACTCTCGGTGCTTCCCGGCTCAGGAATTTTACCCTCATTCCCTTTCTGGGTTTTGAGAGTGATGGAGTAGAAGCCGTAGCTTATGACTCCATTGCAGTCAGCGAGGGTCGGGAGATATTCCTCGTTAATTACCAGGGTAATATAACGTTGTTGCTCCCTAACCTCACTGACCTTCACTACTCTCCAATCGAGGGCTGGTAGTGTGTCGTTGGAGATCTGGATAATCTCCAAAATTCCCTGCGGAATAGCGGGTTCCTCCGGGACCCATGCCCTGGCTCGCGCCCTGCAAGGGATTTCATCCCTATGCACTGCCACTAAGTCCGTGCCGGGCCACAGTTCCCCAATCGCAGATATGGCCTCCTTATAGAGCCGAGCCGACCTTTCGTCGGCGCACGATACCAATTTAATACGGCCTTGGTATAAGCCAGCGTCGCGAATGACAGGAGCAGGGCCAGGATTCCTTTGGATAATTTCCTTGTACACCCGGCAGAGACCTACAAGGACAGTCCTCCAATTCTCGGCTGTCAGGTTTCCCTCTGGGTGCCCCCTGTCCATTACAGCCAGAACCAAATGGTCTTTGGCCACATCATTGAAAGCCCGAGGGACCCGTGAAGGGTTTGGCGGGCTGTTTCTGCTCGAGGTTTTTGTCCTCTTCAATGGGCCGTCGGCATCATCTGCCGATTGCTGCCTTTTGGGGGGCAGTTCCCTGGAACCTGAGGGAGTGGGTTCAGGGTTATTCAGGACACCCTTCTCCTGAGTCCGTTCCCGGCTTTCAGAGAGAATGCCCTTTGCCCTCTCAACCACATCCCTCATATTTTCGGGAACCGGATTGTCCCAGAATTTCTTCAGCAGCCTGGAAGCGGTTCTTCTGACCCGCTTCGCTCTCACTGCTGGGCGTACCCGTTTAATCGTCCCTGGACCACTGGGACGAGCGTGATGCTTCGCCAACTGCGACCCCACAGGGGGTTTGTGGTTGGCATTCCTATTGCCCGTGCAGGGCTCCCGGGTGCCAGTAACGCCCCCAACCGGAGCTGATTTAGAGCTGCCCTCAAGGGGTGTGCTCATTGCCGCTCTTGATGAGGACGCCTGGCACAAGAGATCCATCGGCCGTGTAGGCTTCGTTAACATCCCAGTCGCCAGTCGCTCGCTACCCTCCGAGGGTTTGCAGCTACCAACACTGGGCTCAATCGCTAGTTTAAATGGCCGTGAAGGCTTCTTCGGGACCGATCCAGCGGCTACCGAAGATCTATCTTGACTATTTATAACGCCGTGTCCGTCGGCGGCATTTTTACCCGTGCAGGGATCCGGGGCTTCTTTGTTGTTTGTATTCATATCTGGTTCTTTGGTCGCCTACTGAGCCGAAACCGTTCGGCGACCGTGTATAAAGGAAGGGCGAAAGAACGGTCGGTCACAGCAGAGCTGTGGTAAGTCCACCGTTACTCCTGGAGGCGGACAGGTATCCGGGAGGCCCCGTTAAAATACAGTCGGAAGAGCCCCCCTGACTGCAAACCATCCAATAGGCACGGTGACGCATGACACCCTGGATTAGGGGGGCGTTTTATACCTACCGCCAGGTACCCCCTAGAAATAGCCTAAGTATGCCCACCCCAGCCCCCCCTTGGGCGAGCCACTAGAAGAGACAGGAGAGTTTATACCTCGGCCTTAGCTAGGCCCCGCCTACTTTCACCGCTGCGGCGTAGGTCCGACCGCAGCGGTGCCCGCAGCGATGCCCATTGCCCAGTCGGCACCCGCTTGGAGGATATATCTAGGAGGATTTTTGCCAACCCGCCCACTAGTTTGGAGAGATGAGGCGGGTCTGGTAGCCAATCACAAATTTTTGTTACAAATCGAATTTCACTGAAATTCGATACAATTTACCATATCCGCTCCCTAGTGTAGTGGGCTAGCTAGCTAGCTAAATTCAATATTCTTTCATATTTACTCATTCCTATGGAAAAGTACTCCACGTTACAATTTTCAGCAAAATCGAAGCACATTTATAATTTCTTCTCTTCCACTGTTCGGCGCGTAGGTAGCGGCCCAACTCGTAGCTTAAGTCTCCTTTGTATTGTTTCCTTTATTTGGCTTATAGCGTTGTCGGTAGATTCCATCCTATTGTGTTCCTTATCTCGTTCTTTTAACATCTCGCACCCAGATCCCAGTTACCCTCGGCAGCTTAGGAAGTATTGCGAGTGCGTTCGTAATATTTTGAGCGCCCTTGGATATCCATTAATTTGTTTCACAATTTTTGGCTCAACCTAGTAGTGTCTTGTAGTTGGTTACATGTTAATAGTTGGTGCCGTTCCCCATATAAATTTTCTTGTAGCATATCCTAATTTCGGTCGTTCTATTGTATCGCATAGTCTTATTTTCTTCCCCACCAACGATCCCGCCGTCAGCAGTGAGTAAGCCGGTTGCTAATATATTTGTCATCTACTTTTTGCTCGTGCATTTGTTTACCTACACTGGGCCTTTGTGCTGTGCGTTGGCAAATTCATTTGGTACATTAGGCTGGTAGGCCATCTTAAAAGCAAAAAGTGTAGGTGACAAGAGTTATGCAGAAAAGTAAGCTGGAGCATATCCGCCTTCGAGCTGGAATGAGATAGCGGACTGCCTAGCAAGAGAGGCAATTGATTTCGAGCCACCCCTTTGAGAAAGTCGTAATACTAAGTCTTAATAAAGGGCTCTGGAAAGAGTGGAATACACTTAGGCATAAACTGGCATAGTCCGTTAGGAATGCGTCAGGCAAAGAGTTTACTGGAAGGCTGTAAAAAGAAAAGATTCAAAACCCTACTCAAAAAGAAATTTACAGTGCAATTCTGGCAACTATCTTGAAAGCTTTTTATTGTCTTTCGAAAGACTTATTGGAAAATCCGCTAACGAGGAGGTCTTAGCGCTATGCTTGTTGTTCGCCTTTTATTTATTAATTTATGTATTTAAAGTATAAATAAAAAAATACTTTTATTCACAAAACAACCTAAAAACTAAAAGAGAATTAAATTTAAAAAAAATTTAATAAATAAAAAATAATAATAAAATAAGATCCTAAAAACTATATGAAATGAAAAAATATACTTTTCTTTTTGAAACAATAAAATTTAAAAATCAAAAGCAAATAAAATTGACGATTCAAAATCAAATTATTTAAAAACAAAAAAATAAATAAAATATATTTCTAAATATCAAATGAAATTAAATAAATATATTTCTTTTTCAAACAATAACATCTAAAAATGGTAAGCAAATTAAACTAAAAACGAAAAATATTTATTAAAAAAAATAAATCATAAAAATTACATGAAGCTAAAAAAAAATATGATTATTTTTAAAGCAATAACATACAAGCATTAAAATACATATATTTTGTCTTTAAAAACAATAAAATCTAACAATTGAAAGAAAATTAGATAAAAAAAAAATAAAAATTTAATTGAAAAATTAAAAAAATCGCCTATTAGGTTTTCGAACACGGATCTTTCGAATTACACGCCTGTCCTTTGCTCACTCGGCCATTGCGACTGCTGGAGCGACGTGAGCCAAGTAATATATAAATGCTTTCTCTAAAAAAAGCTTTTCACCACAAGTGGTAAATAAGAGAGCTTTTTTCTAAGACTTTTGTGCTAGAATAACAAAAGTCTTTCGGACTATCTTGTCATCCGTGTTTCATTTGTCTTACGAAAGACTTTCTACTATCTTAGCCAGAATTGCCCTTTTATAATACTAATGGTGTTTTCGTTTATATCAAAAAATGTCGCATTTTAATTGCCCGTTTCTCTTTTCTTGTTCGATTCTTATATAAAGGTAAACGGTGATAAAATTGTGTGTCCATTTCTTAAAATGTCACACTCTTGTAAGGCAAAAAAGGCACATTCTCCGTCTGCCCTTTGAAGCTTTGTCAGGGGAGATGTTCAGGCTTACTTTAGCCACAGCTTGGGCACATTATTGCTTTATTTTACTGTTTGTTCAGGTTTGACTTTGCTACAATCATGTTTAATTGGCTTCGAATGTCAGTGGAATTTTTCTGATTGTCCTACAGAAGATATGCTTTCAAAAGAACTTAGTAAAAACAACTGCGCCAAGAGCAGTAATGGAAGGGCATTAGTCATGAATAAATCACAGTGTAGCTGAGAATTTTCTATGGGTAAAAAGGAGCATTATTAGGCTTTCATCCGGCTACTCTTTTTCAAATAAGGAATTTAAAAAACAAAACAAACGCTGAACCATCTTTCTACATGAATATAGTAAACATATGCAGCCTTTAAAAATAAAAGGAATCTTCGTTCCTTTTCCCAAAATTTGGTTTTCGCTAGTTTTCAAATCTTTATAATTTGATATGAAGATTTAAGAAAGTATAAACAGCAAATATTCAGTTTTTATTTTATCCATAAAATCTTATGAAGCATGGTATGATATTCGATAACAAACCCATACTATTTTTCTCATAAAGTTTCGAAGCATATTTAAATTAATTCTCTCTCCTCTTTCACTCTTTACGGATTCACATTCGCAAAATATAGCCTTAAATTGCCACAACCTCAAAAGTGTAAAAAAATATCTTTAATTAACAGCACCACCGAAATTCTCGAAAACAATACACCGAATGCCCTGCAGGTGAAAACAGCAAACTAGCATACTTTCCCGTATCAGTAGCTGTCATAGGCAGCCTTCACTTTTATTATATATTTTATCTTAGGTATACTGCATTCATTTGAATATTCACAATCCTCCTTTCTTCCTTTCGCTTAATCTAGCCGTCGTCGCTCAAACGCGTTAAGCTTCGATTTAACATAACTTCCATGCATTTTCTCGCCTCCAGCTAAGTGCCACACAACGCACCAATCCACTTTCAGTATCGCAGTATACAGCATGCTTTACGTTTTTAACTTTACTTCTTCAGGGCTACAACTTTTCGATGGCTTCTACGTATTAAATGAATGCTTATGTACATACATACATACATTTCACCTGCATCAATATTATCTCTGTACATCTTTCGGCGTCTAGCACTACTACACTGCGTATAGGCAACCTCAACTGGTTGCTATGTGCCAGCCACAAGCACTTCTACGTCTATATCTTTTAACAGGCATTTATGTGGCGGCATTTTTGCCTGCCAGCAGTTCTTCGCATTAATACAGTAAGTGGCACGTAGCAGAAAATGAGCGTCCGTCGCAAGTGAAGCTTGCCATACAGCTGCCAATTCCATGCGCTTTTACTAGGTAGTATACTCGTATATATACAGTATTGGCCAATACAATAGCACCCCCATTTCAAAGTGATATTGTTTGCCTCTCATGTTTATTTATTTATTTTTAAGAATTTCAATTAAAATATAGTTCATTCTCTCACAAAACTCACATAAACTCAAGCTTAAAACTTTTTATCATTTGCTTCCATATATGGACTAAACACAATTTATTTTTATATGGCAAAAACCCGCAACATCCTCGGCGAAAAAAATTCTAAAAAATCAACGGTAACCTTTAGCCACTTGAAACTTGCACATTATTAGACTAAAATTGAATGGGCTATAAAACTGTGAATTCAAAAAAAGTCTACCGCTTCTGAGAAAAAAGTTTGAAATTTGGGTGAAAATTTGTTGCACTTTTTTGCGGTCTTTTGAAAAGTTTAAAGCATTGGTTTATATGGGTTTTGCTGGAGAATGAACTGTATTTTAATTGAAAATTCTTAAAAACAAATCATTAAACATAAGTGGCAAACAATATCGCTTTGAAAGGGGGGTGCTATAGATATGTCCAATACTGTATGTGGTGAATCCTTTATAATTGCTGATGCAATAATTGCACTGGTCTACAAGGGTTTTGCGAATAAGACGGGACCTGGTGTTTCCGAACGGATTTTTCGTGCTGAACACGAATCTGGGGTCCAAAACTTCCCATCACGTCACGTTTTCGAGAAAAAAGGGGTTGAAACCCCTAAA